GATCCCCACGACGAATTATCCTCTGGAGTGCTTAGAAGCATCTCCAGGGAACTTTCAGGGACCCGCGCGAATCCCCAGGAGCCTGCAGGAATCCTTCTGGAATCCTTGGAAAATCTTGAAGCATTCTCAGGAATCTTCACAGACCCTCCAGAAAACGTGCAGAAATCCTCTGGGGCCCTTCAGGAATCTCACTTGAGTTGCCGGGGATCTGCGACACTCCCCACTATCCGGACAAATCCTCGGAATCGACAAGAATTCCAAGGAACCTGGTGGAATCCCCGGGAACGTGGGGAATTTTCAGGCGTGACCGCTGCAAGCACGAACGGCGGCACCAGCAGCGCCTGGAGGCGAACGCGCCCAGGGAGGGGGGCGGAGGAGGAAGGCAGACGAAGAGGAGGAAAAGGAATGGAAAAGGGACGAGCCAGGATAAGGAGGAGGGACGAAAACAACATATCCTTCGGAAGGTCCTGAGGATCACCGAAAGATTTCTGGCGAGTTCCTGGGGTATCCGTCGGTTACTTCAGGGTTCCTGAAGGTTCTCACACGTTCCTGTGCGAATCCTAAAGATTCCCGCGGGTTCCAGAGTCCACGGGATTCATGCAGGATCCCCAAAACATTCCTGAAGGATTCCTGCGGGGATTTTCGCGGATTCCTCGTGGTCCAGTTCGGCCACACGCAGGAGAATGACCCTAGGCTAGAATGACCTTTAATGCGCGGCTTCAGGGGCGCTGGCGGGGGCCCAACGCAACCGCGAAAGCCACTACGGCCGCACGGCATCAACGATCGGCGGGATGCCATTGGCAACCGCGGGCAGCCAGGGCAGCGAGCAACCGTGGGATCAACGATTGTTTGCGCCAGCGGGCAACCGCGGAATTCCGCCAGATGGATTCGAACGCCCCGAATGGCACTTCGAAGGGGCTGCGAAAACACACGCCGCCGGGGGGGCACCGAGATGAGGTCTGGCACTATCGGGCCGCATCGCGATGACGTCTGACCAGGTCTCTTGTCATGGCCAAAGCCGGCCCCGTCCGCGGGCCTGGAATATGTCAAAATGTCCGTGGGTAAGTTGCAATCTTACAGATCGCCGTCGCTTCTTTAAAAACGTTCGAACATATTCCAACATATTCAGACACATAAACCAAACGATGTGGGATTTGGGCCGGGCGTCAGGACTGGTCCTGGGGTGGAAAACGTGCCGTCTGGTCGACTGGCCCCCTCGGGAAACCAATGCGCACTGTAGCGTGCGCCGCGTATGCGTTGCTGTCGATTGAAGGGGGGGGGGGACAAACCTGGCACGCTCAGATGCGAGCGCAATCGCGCGATGCGGGTGCCGACGCGAGGTCAAATTCATCTCAAAACCAAGAAAACCCGACCACTGTGGGGCCAGCGCGAAAAAAAACTCCGGCGAAGGGTCACTCTTACGTGCAACCGACCAGTGGATAAATACAATTTGTTTTGCGAGAGTCTTGAAGAATGCGCGAGGATTCCTCCTCGGCCCACCGCGTCCCCCCCCCCATTTCCGGCGACGAACTCGAATTATTTAATTGCCCCCCGCGGCGCCCCCAGATTCCCAGGCTGCCCCAGCACCCCCCCCCCGCCCGCCCCTGGGAACATCGCCCCCAGCGCGCTGACAGCGTCATATAGCACCCGCTGTCCGAAATTATTCTTCGGGGGCCCACCGGGGATCTTCAGGCGCGGCCGCTTCCGGCGCGAACAGCAGCAACAACGCCGCCCGGCGGCGGGCGCGGCCAAAGAAGGGGGCGAAAGAGGAAGGCAGACGAAGAGGATGATAACGAATGGCAACGGGAGGGGCCGGCTAAAAGGGGGGGGGGGGCAGCGCATGCCTCAATGGGGCTTTGAAGGGCGCCGGAAGATTCCCGACGGGTTCCCCGGGGCTCCGTCGGGCCCCCGGGGGCTCCCAAAGATCCAGAGGGGGCATCCTATAGAGATTGAGATTCGTGCGGTCTCCGAGAGATCTCTAAGGACTCTTCTTCTCAGACGAATGTTAAGTAATTTGGTTACAGATGCCAGGGTACTTTGCTTATTATTGTCCTCCTCCTCCTCCTCCCCTGTCTCCTCCTCCTCATCGTCCTCCTCACCCTGCCCTCATCTACCCCTCCCTTCCCTTACTTCCCAACCTACCGACCTCTCTGTGGTTGTAGAACATCATCTGTTTCGATGGCGCAGAACAGAAGCATTATTAGAAACGATTCAGTCAGGGGACGAGGAACGGCATGGGCTTTTGAGAGCTTTTGAAACGATGCAGGGGACGAGGAATGGCATGGGCGTTTGGGAATGGCATGGCCTAGCACCCGTTTTCGCCGCTTGATCGCCGTAGTAATCACCATCATCGCGGAGGGGGGGAACCCTTAGGGGCGTCTCGATTCTGGCGTCGTGAGGAAAAGCACGAAAGTCAGAGGTTCAGTTTTTAACCGAATCCTGGAACCTCTGACTTTTTCGGCGGAGGGGGGCCCTTGCAGGCAAGGCCCACCTACCCATCTCAGTTCTTCTCGCTCCTCCTCTCATCACATCTTTCCCCCATTCGTTTCATGCCATGCCTTGCTCTGCCTTGCTCCTCGTCCCCCCCCCCTCGTCCTCTTCACCCTCGCCTCGCCCCCCCAACTCCTCATTGAATACGTACTTGGCCCAGCTACTCATATGAGTAACCCAGAAAACGCGCAAAAGGGGTCATGCTGAACGGCCGCAGGCGCAAATCCTGCAACGTCATCCGCAACCTCCCTACTTTCCAGGACGCCGCTATACACGCTCAAGCCAGGAATGGTCTGAAAACCATGTTTCAAATTCCAATCAGGAACGCCCATTGTTTGGCCGCCCAGAAGTAGGAACACCAAGTATATCATCGTCACCATCGTCACCATCGACATCGCCATCATGCTCGTCACCGTCATCGCCGTCATCATCGTCATCATCAATCATGTCCGAATGCAATGGATGACCATCGTTGTTCGACTCTGGTTTCATTGTTCTGATCGCATCTGAATGCGGGTGTCTCGTTTTCTTGGTCCCATGTATAAGGGCGAATCGAAACGCTTCGCTCGATGTTCGAGGCGCTGGATTTTCGAGACGGTTGGCTTCGACGAGGCATTTTGGTTATACTTGTTAGGTATTGTGCCTATCCCCCCTCCCCCCTACATGGGCGTAGGTGGTAGGTGCTTATCCCCCCTCCCCCTGCTGGGCGGGAATCGCCAAGGTAGGGACCATGAGGCACACCACATCGGCCGCTTTTCCTCCTTGTCGTCGTTCTCCTCCTCCTTTTTCTCCTCCTCCTTTGCCTCATTAGCACCACCATCGTCCTTCGCACTCCTCCTCCCCTCACCCCTCCTTCCCCTTCTCCCTTTTTCCACATGAAACCGAAATGCTGTAGACCAGGGTTGGGTGCCATAGTTGTGGTGTCATCAGCGACCCCTCTGTAATCATTCACAGCTCAAGCATGTTGTATCGAACGTTGTTCTTTGGGCTTGTTTTCATCATGGTTTCTCTGCCTTCAAGCGTGTCTGAGGCCATGCCTGTTGTCGTCTCAGAAGAAGACGACTCGCTGCTGCCACCGAGCGTCGTCTCAGAAGAAGACGATCAGCCTGTTGATGTGCAGGAGGAGGAGGAGATGTCTGTGGATTTGAGCGAGTTGAATGCCTTTGACGAAGACCCTGAACCCATTGAGGACGAAGATGAAACCCATCAATTGCAGCACATTGGGGATGAGATAATGAGACTGGATAATACCATTGGACATGAGAAGATATATGATGTTCCTCTACCTGGCGTTGCTCAACATATTTGCGCACCACAAGACATCGCTGAATTCTATGCGCCTCCGCGTGTTGCACCACATGGTAGGGCACTCGGCTTGAGAGGGAACCTCAGTTTGGACATCCTCTCAGGGTGGAATTTTAATGATATTAGGTTGGTTGAGCTTTCTATCAAGTTGTTAACCCTCGTTGCTTTCGTTGTCCTGTGCCCCCCATGCACTGCCTTCAGCGTTGTTCAGAAGCTGTGGAATTTCAAAAAGTTGCCCATGGCGCGTGTCCAGGCCAAATGGGCCCAGGGCATGCACTACCTCGAACATGCAATGGCGTGCGCAAAGAAACAAGCCCTGGACGGTCGATTTTTTGTGTTTGAACACCCTGCTGGAGCAAGCAGTTGGGGACAGGCCTGTGTACAAGAGGTCATGGCATTGCCAGGTGTGCATAGAGTGCTAATCGATATGTGTAGGTTTGGCCTTGTTTCTAAAATTGCCAGGAAGCCAATGCGGAAACGCACGTACATTCTCACGAATGCCCCACCTGTTGTAAAAGCCTTGCAAGGGTGCTTGTGCGATAGATCGCACGGGCACCAAGTGGTGGAAGGCATGGAGGGCGGAGTGCGTCGCAGCGTGTGGGCGCAAATCTACCCGGTTGCCTTCTGTAGGGTGCTTGCGCAATGCGCCCTCGAGTGCAGGGAGACACGCAGATAGTATTTCACAGGTGCAATGTAGGTAGGATATTCAGATGCCTGGGTGATATGCACCAGTGTAAAAAAAAAACAGCCTTGTGGTGTTGAAGCTGCCTAGTCGCGTGCGTGCACGATTCAAGTTGAATCGAACAGCCTGTAGACTACTTTGTAGTTGGAGCCAATCGAACATGCGATAAGCCACCGTTTGCGAGGCACTCTGCCCATACGAATGTACACTATATATATAATGGGCACGTACATTATATACACGATTTGCATGTACAGTATATACAATGGGCACGTACACTGTATACCATCGCCGAAAATGAGCACGTACATTGTATACAGTGGGTTCGTGCATTATATACAAGGATCACGTACATTATCTACCACCAATGTACACGTACGAAAAGCCCCCATAGAGCCCCTCTGGACCCCAGCAGGAATCACCAGGCTTCGAGCGCGCGCGCACGCATGCAACAACAGCTGTTTTTCCCAAGCAGGTGAGGAGATCGTCCTGGCTCAACCTCCCCATTCTTTTGAATCTGGCGATGGCTGATGGTGACGACATCCCCTGCTCTTTGCCAGACTCGGTGGTCTCTGAGATTGAAGAGGTTGGCCCGGTTCGTGAGGAGACGGAGGTCGAGCTGCCAGAAAGCGTCGACGAGGAGGAAGATGATACAGTATACTCGAAGTCTTGCAACTGCAAATCCAAATGCTACAAGCAGTTTTCTAGCAAGGAAATCGTTGAATCTAAGCAGGCGTGGGCATGCATCGAGAACGAGACCGAGAGGAAGAAGAAACTGTTCCAAGCTGTCACGTTAGAAGTGAAATCAGCGGCCAATCAGGCCTCCAAGAAGATCAAATGGACCCACAAAGGCAAAGATGTGTGCCGCCAGTTCTGGGCCTTCATCAACAGCACAAGCTCAGTCACAGTCGATCTGTACAGGAAGCATGTGAATGCAGGCGGGACGGAGCCTCCATTGAACCTTCCAAAGATGCCTGGGCCCAGGGCCAACACACAAAGCATGAAGGCCGACACGTGGTTCCTTGCCCTCTACGATTCGTTAGCCGAGCCGTACCCCACTGAGAATGCCGAGGAAGTGAAAGTGGAAGAATCACACGAGCTCATCGAAGCGCCCTCACACCCGTTGTGGATCTTGGGCGCCGCCCTCGACAGCGACACAGCTGCGCCGGAGAAGCGCTACGTGCCCATCAGGTTTCTGAACCCAGGGAACTTCGAGACCATCTGGTCCCAGTACCAGGCCGAAGTCAACAACGAGCAGCAGGTTTCAAAGAGTACTCTTTACAAGGCTGCATGGGCATCCAAAGCAAACCTCCTCATCCTCCACCACCCCCCCACCCCTCAGAAATCCATCGGGGGCCAGCTTGCTGGCTATGTCCCAAAGCTTTCTCGCCCTGCCCTCCTGCTCCTCCTGCTCCTTATCCTCTTACATCGCCCTCCCCCCCCTCTCTCCTTCGCCATTCCCCCCCTGCCCGCCCGCTCCATCTCTGTCGACTGCCCGAGGGGCCAGGGGGGGGGCAGGGGGCAAGGGCGAGGAGGAGGAGTACGAGAGGGGAGAGGAGGATGAGGAGGGGGGGGCACAAGGAATAGGAAGAAAAGGCGCCTGATGAGGATAACGAGGACAAGGGAGGAGGAGGAGGAGGAGGAGGAGGAGGAGGAGGAGGAGGAAGAGGGCGGAAGAGGAGGAGGAGGAGGAGGGATCGCATAATCCTACGCATGAAGAGGAGGAGGGAGGGGGGAGGGAGGGATAATGGGAGGAGGGGGTCTATGAAGGCATGGAACGACAATTGGAAGCGCTACATCATGTTCAGGAACATGGGGCAGGGCAAGCGCTGCAAGACCTGCGCCAGTTTAGACGCTAAACGTGTGTGTGCTGCTACAGATGCTGAGCGTGCGGAGGTGCCTGGGGATTGCGAATGGTGTTTGCTGTGTAGTGTGCCCTGCCTTCAGCTCCTGGTCGTCCGAGCGCAACCCTGGCCCTCCTGGTACGTTGCCGGGGTGGCCCGGAGAGGCTGGGCAGGCAGCTGCATAAGCAAACGCAGCCGATCATTAGTAATCCCCATTTAGCTGGTCAAAGAGAAGAAAGTCCACATCGATTGCGTCAAAGCAGACCGCTCTCTGAACGTTCGCGGAAACATGAAGGCCCAGGCAGATGCGGTTGGCCCTGCCAGTCCAGATGGGGCAGGGCAAATACTCAAAATACACATCGACGGGATGGACCAAGCCAAGTTCAAGTGCCCGAGACTGACGGCCCCTGGGGTCCACAAACACATGCTATGTAAATCGTGTCAGTGGCAATGCAAGTATTATGCTAGGGCAATGTAGGTATTATGCTAGGGCAATGTGAGTATTATGCTAGGGCGATGTAAGTATTATGCTAGGGCAATGGTAGGGCTTGCTCGCCACGGCCCAACAAAACAAAGCAAGATCCCCCAATTATGTTTGCCTTAGCCCTGGTACCGATCGGCCCCATATGCACGACTGTGCGCGCGTGTCATGTCATGGCCCCCACTGATGAAACATGTTCTCCAGACAAATACGGCCGAGATGAGCGACTTGTGGCGCCCAGCGCTGCACATGACAGGGGTGACGGTGTGGGGGTACCTCGATGGCTTCTTTGTCATGAACTCTGACCAGAAAAAAGATTCGAACATGCAGGCAACTGTCCTCTCGAGGACGCTGGATGTAGTATCTTCGATGTGCGATAGTCGAGGCACCTGCATGCCGCGCACGCTGATCCTGGGCGTTGACAACACATGCAGGGAGAGCAAAAACCAGTACTTTATGACTTTCCTGGGGTGGCTCAAGAGCACCAAAAAGTTCGACACCATCGAGGTCCAGTACATGCAGAGTGGCCACAGCCACAACGAACAGGACCCCTTCGATGAGGTGGAGGAGGGAGGATGAGAATGATGGTGGAGGAGGGACAAGGAAGGGAGGAGAGGGATGGCGCGGAGGAGCATCAGGAGGAACTGACGGAGAGGAATGGGGAGGGGGAGGTGGAGGAGGAACTTCCAGGTCAACCTCTTGCAAGGGATGGGGAGGATGAGGGGGAGCAGGACAATGATGGCCATCGCGGTTCATCGTTGGGTCAGCCTCCCCAGGACCAACGGTTTTCGACTGTGGCAAGCAAGCTGGGCACTGCGAGTGTGCTCCAGGACCCGCAGGAGTTCTGCGACTTCATCAAGGAGTCAGTGCCGAAAGTTGCAGATAGGGAGATCCTTGCAGAGGTTCTCGGCGGAACCTGCGATTTCAAGGAGTGGGTTCAGCAGCTGAACATCAAGCTGTCCGGCTTGGCTGCCACGCATCAGATGCACGACCCTGAGGTGACGCATGTGTGGAGAATCATGTCACGGGAGCTCCTGAAGTCCGCTGGTTTCGAGGATGGGGCCATCGAGTGCCCTGATGAATGGAAGGACATGGCCCCCGGGGGGCATGACAGCATCCTCCTGCTGAAACACTTCATGAGTAGCTCTGTTTACAGCCAGGCCCCCTTGCTCCTGTTGCCAGAGGCGCTGGCCAAGAACCTGCAGAAGGATCAGGGTTGTTGGGGGCTGGCCAAACCATTCTAGCCAGACAGGACGGCCCAAGACACCCCAGAGATCGCCCACCCCCCGAAAACGGCCCAGGCGTGCCGGCCCAAGAGGGCCACAAGACAACCCAGCCAAGACGCCCTTAGGAATTTCCCAACAAGGGCCTTCAGGAGGGGCCTTCAGGGGCCTTCAGGGAATGTGGAGAGGGCCTTCAGGGGCCTTCCCCCTAAGGGTGACTCCAATAACCCTGGCGCCACCTCCTCCTGAAAGTCCCCCTCCATGTCCTCCTCCTCCTCCTCCTCCTCCTCCTCCTCGTCCTTTTCTCTCCTCCTCTCTCCTCCTCTCTCCTCCTCGTCCTGCTCCTTGGTGGGGGGGCGCTGCATGAGTACCAACCTAGATGCCTTCAGTCGGGCTCACAGGAGGACCTGAAGCCCCTCGAGCTCAATGCCCTGTCGGAGAGGACCATCAAGGAGTTCAAGAACACCGCATCAGTGGTCCAGAAGCATCCTTGGGATCTCGCCAAGGCTCACAAATACCTGAATGACTTATGCGATGCCAACTTGGCACGGACAGTGCCTGCGCCACCTGAGTTGCGCTTCGTCTTCGAGTACACCATGAAGCCACTTGGCTCCAGTGACCCGCTGTTGCCAGGACTGGTCTTCGACGGCTCTGAGGTCGGTGAGCCGCGCGTGGTGGAGTTGCAGGTGAAGAGAATCATGAGAAGGCCAGCTGCTGCTGCCATGAAACGCCCTGCAGGACCACTCAAACGCCCAAGTGCAGCGAAGATCCAGAAACGACCAGCAGCGGCAGCAGCTCCCGCTGAGGAGCCTCCCCAGGACGACGGGGAGGCCGAGGTGGACGAGGACGAGGAGCCTGAGGAGGGAGGCTTGCCCGGGGACAACGGCGACGAGGATGGGCCCCCAGAGGACGAGGACATGTTCGACGACGAGCAGGGCGACAACGAGGACGGGGCGCCCCCAGTGCCGCCTGCGCCCCCACCCGGTCCGCCTCGGCCGCCTGCTGGGGCCGACCGCACGACTGGGTGCAGCAAATGCCGCTGGGTGAGGAAGGGGTGCGGCGGGTGCCGCGCGTGGGCCCAGAGTGGGCACAGGGGCTACTACTATGGCCCAGACGGTGAGACAGTGATGAGGGGCCCAGCATAGATAGGAGAACTCCTTCCTGCCATCTCGCAAGATACGCACTTGAAGTGCATGATGTTTCGAATGAACAGCCTGCAGCCACTACTACCACCACTACTGGCACTGCTGTGCCACCAGCATGGCTGTTCATGATATGTTTTGCTTCAGATGCATCACTGCGAGTGTGATGGCAAGCTTGCTTGGGACAGAGAGGCCGATTTAAAGTGAGCCTCCGTTATACTTCGACTGCGGTGAATCTTGGCGGGAGCCGCCATGATTGCTACAATATACATCGCCTGGCGCCAGTTTTCTGGCAGCCAGGATCTCCCGGTCGTGCGCGCAAAAAATATGGGAGGAGGTCTAAGGGGGAGGCTTGGTCCAGCTTTGGAACGTGGATGAGGAGAAGTTCGCAGAGGATGGGAGGGTGATGAGGAGCAGGATGAGAAACAAGAGAAGGGCAGGCAAGATAATTAGGATGCTTACGCACACACAAACGTGATAGCCAGCTTGCTGGCGGCCAGCTAGCTGGCCTTCGACGAAGAAATCAAGATGGCAAGGGAGGGGCACCGACGAATCGCATCACACAGAGAAACATTGCTTCTGCTGGCTGAAACGAAGAGGAAGAGGGACGAGGAGAGCAGGGAGGAGGAGGGGGCACAGGAAGGAGGAGGAAGGAGGAGGGAGGATGAGGAGGAGGAGGAGGAGGAGGAGGAGGAGGGGACAGCTCTGCTGCTGCTGCTGCTGTTGCTGCTGCTGCTGCTGCTACTTGAGATGTCCATCCCTGGTCTGCGTGACGCAGAACGGCGCCTCTTGGGGCCCTCTTGGAGCCATCCTGGTGCCCTCTGGGAGCTGTGTCGGACCTTTAGGGGCGGTCTCAGGGGCCCTCAGAAGGCCCCAAGAGGGGCTCTTGGGCTCTGATGGGCCCCAGACCTTGGATGCGAACCTTGCGTCCTAGGTTTGCCCCTTCCGATGGGCCATCTTGGAGCCCTCCTGGAAACATCTAGGGGCCCTCTGGGAGCCGTATCGGGGCTCTAAGGGCGGTCTCAAGGGCCCTCAGAGGGCCTCAAGAACGGATTTTGTTTTGTCCCCCCCTGATTCAAGGCTTTTTTCCCGAGGCCCTTTCGGAGCCCGAGACAGCCCACGACGCGCGCAAGACAGCCCAAGAAAGCCCCAAGACGAAGATGAGGGGGATTCAACGAGCGCGGCCAACCATAAACAAAACAAGCAAAGAACAACAACACATGGGAACAACACACATAACAAACAACCAACAACGCTATGTTCCGTTTAGGGCCGCGAGGGCCCGTGAAGGGCGGGCATTGCAATCTAATGTTGGATTTGTAATCGGATTTCGCACTAGCCATTTTGGCTCAATCAAGCTGTTCGTTCAGGCGCTCGTTGGCCATTGGGTCGATGCACTGGTTGGCCGATGTGTTGACGGGGACGCCCCCGCGCCGCAGCCACTATGATGATCGGGCAGAAGACTTGTTGAATCATCTGCTGGACAGCCCTCCTGGCAGAGGCTGTGGAGCAGGCGCTGCCGGTGCAACCAGGATGGCCAGGCAGCGCGTAGATGTTGCTAGTAGCAGCAATGCCCGCGGCCGCAGTGGCGCGCCTGCGGCCCGAGTAGAGGAGCAGCGCGCAGTAGCTAGGGCAGTCAGGCAGCGCGTTGGGAGCGCGGCGCCTGTGGCCCACGTGGTGGAGCAGACCTGTCCACCATCATTATTAGCTGGTGGAGTTCACCAGGAGAGCGCGCGCCTAGGTGGAGCTGGTGCCCACATGTCGCGGCCAGCTGGAGGCAGCAGGGTCGTTGCCAGAGCCGATGGACCAGGCGCCAGTGGAGAGGGCCAGCTGGAGGCAGCAGCAGGGCCGCTGCCAGAGCCGAGGGGGCAGCACCGCCAGTCGAGGTGTTGCCGGAGCATCGTCGTGCGGAGCCTGGGACATCCATCACCAACAACACACGTTGGTGGCAGTAGTGGAGAAGGCCGCGCGAGTGCGCAGCAAGGAGGAACCCCTGTTGTTGACGATGCCAGAACCCATGATATTGCTGGCCCCTCGTGTCCAGCTGCTGCTGACAACGCCCGGGCTCATGATGCTGCTGCGCCGCCCCTCGACACGTTCTACTTTCTTCGATTCGCGCCAAAGAACGACACAGAGGTGGAGCGCGCCCGTCAGGCCCGCTGGGAGCGTGGGAAGGAGGAGGCCGAGGAGTTGATCACCGCTGCTCTCGAGCGGCATGGCCCTGATGTGGAAGCGGTGGCGCAGCCAATCATGGAGGTTCCCATGGAAGTGCTGCTGCAACGTGTGGCCATGGAGACAGCGCGGGTCACCCAGGGCGGAGGTCGAGCCTACATAGGCTCGACTTCTGACCCTGGGTGGCGGTGGCGCGGCGGATATTATCTACCATCTCCTGGCGATCGAGGCGGCCGCCGCCACAGCCATCATCATAGTGAAAGGGAGTTCTTTCCTGGCCACCACTTGCAATGGCGCCACCTGCTGGTGCTGGGATGCTGGCGTGATCATGAGACCCGTCTCATGGAAAGTGAAGCTATCAAGCAAGGGCAGAGGGTTGCACCTGGGCGTCTGACTAACAAAGCGTCAGACGCCCGGGGGCTGCAGGTCCGCCCCTGGAGTTTCTCCTTCGTCTACATCTGCTATGGCACGAAATAATAGATAGCAGAGGCATCAGAGTTTATCAGATAATAATGTTTTGCATGCTTGCTACCGTGCCCCCAAAATAGCAGTGTGCAGTGCGCCTTGCACTCATATTGTAATGTATTCTCACTGGCGCAAGCACTGGTTCCGCCATGAAAGGCAATCAATATGCAGTCAAACACGGTCAGATGTGCTGGTCCTCCTCTCCTCTTCCATGTCTCCTCCTCCTCCTCCTCCTCCTCCTCCTCCTCCTCCTCCTCCCCCTCCTACCCCCCCTCCTCCTCCTCCCCCTCCTCCTCCCTCCCTCCTCCTCCTTCCTCCTCCTTCCTCCTGCCCTCTTCCTCCTCCTATTGTCCTCCTCTTCCTCCTGTCTGTCCTCTTCCTCATCATTTGTTGGGGGCCAAAGCACTCTTGGAGTCCGTGTGGAGCAGACTTTTTTTGGAGCTGATGCTGAGATGCGCGGGATTCCCCGGAATCCGGCGCATCTCGGCGCCTGTCAGCATCAGGGCCAAAAAAAATCAGGATCTTGGTTGCATATCTTGATGGAGCAAACGGACCGCGCACCAAGGGGGGGCCGCGCAAGTCGGGCCCCTGGATCCAAGGTGCGAGATGCGCGGGCTTCCCCGGAAGCCCGCGCAAGTCCTGAGGGCAGCGGCGGCCCCGCGCAAGTCCCCCCCCCCGTGGACCCCCCCCCCACTTGTGCGGGCCCCCGCTGGGTAGCACGACTTGCGCGGGCTTCCTCGGAAGCCCGCGCAAGTCCACCCTCTCCTGGGGGCCCTCGAGTTGTGCAGGATCTCTGGGGACTCTCCTGATGTACATCCCCCCCTACCTAACTGTTGATAGCATTGCCCATGAAGAGAACTCCATGGCTATGATGGCCCAAACAGGTTCCTGTGCCACGCGGACACATCAATGTAGTTGTCATTAGCTTTGCATTCAAGCACGGTTTGCGATGGCTGACGACAACATACCCACATCGTCCAAGTGGTCATCAGGATGGCTAGACGATGGATGGCAAGGCGACGCTGCTTCTTGGTGGACTTGCGATCCTACTTATCCTGGAAACCAAAGTGCCTGGGGTCCTGGTGGAGTTTCAAGTGGTGATACCTGGTGGTGGAACAATGGGGCTCCTGCTGGTGGGTTTGATGACATGGCGCACTGTCAAATACCTGGTGATCATGATCATGATTCTGACTTGGGTCACCCGGCCTGGGACTACGCAGCCTGGTATCGTGCAGAAGAAGAAGTCGCTGCTCAAGCTGACCAGGCTGCTCAGATGGCCGCTCAGAGTGCTCCGCTCATTGACGACGAGTTCGAACGCATGGCGGCCGCAGACGTTGAGAGCAAGGTCAATTCACGGACGTTGGTGGACATAGAGGGGTTGACATTGCCAACGCCGCCTGGCTTGCGTGCGCAGCTCAACGTCATGGACGACGAGTTCGAACGCATGTCGACCGCAGACGTTGAGAGCAAGGTAAATTCACGGACCTTGGTGGACATAGAGGGATTGACATTGCCAACGCCACCGCCTGGCCTGCGTGCGCGGCACAAGAAGTTCATTCCAGAACCTAGTGACATGGCTGGGCAAGAACTCCGACGTTTGCGGGACAAGAAGAATGCGCGTGAGGCAGTTCGCAAAGCTAAAAGACGGGCCGAAAAACAAACGCTCGAGGCACAGCAGCAGCATCAGCAATCGCAATATAGCAAGCATCCTCATGTGTAGTTTTCGCAGGCGCAGCAGTGTCAGCATAATTCGCAACACGCTGCATGCACTGCATTGTATTATGATATACAGGTAAGCGGGTTGCGTTCTCGCTAGCCTACATGCATTGTGAGTGAGTGTCCGAGTGCGCCTTGGAAAAAGCAAGCAGGGGGGGTGAGTCGAGCGACTTCGCAAGGAGGTGCTAAAGGGTAGCCACATGGTGGCAGCCCTGCTACAACTCGCAGACTGTACATCTTACCCCTCCTGCCGCTAGTTGTGCGAACTCATGGTAGCCAGCTTGCTGGCAACCATGCCCCTACTGCTACTCATGGTAGCCAGCTTGCTGGCAGCCATGGTGCATCGATTGCTCCCCCTCCCCCCCTCCTCCTCCAGATATGGACGACGATGCAAATGACGAGTGCGACACGACGATGATACTGGTAGTGGTGGCGAGTTTGGTACAGATCAGTGCGTAGTAGTGGGGCCGAAATGTGTTATGGTCTCGTGGTTGTGTTGAGCGTTTTTGGGTATGTCTAGGGGGCTGCCGCTGTGTCACAACACGAGATTTGTGATGGGGGTGCGCTCTAAACAGCTGTGAGTGCATGGTGAATCTGCTCTGTCTGTGGGGGCAGTCTCCCATAAGAAGTACATAGCTGTTCTGGCTCTGCCTGAGGGGATGCATTTTTTTCCTGCGCCTGAGCTTCCTGGCATCAGGATGTCTTGGAACATGGGGGAAGGCTCCCCTGTGGATGCAGCAGGGGGATGCTCCACTCCACCAGCAGGAGGGGCCGCCTCTGCAACGCCAATCCCCCCCCTGGCGACGCATGCGCTGCCCAGCCCGACCAGCCCCATGGCCTGCACAAGCGTGGATCATCAAATTGGTTTGGGTGATGTGCAAGAGGACCAGTCTACGGAGACCCGCGAGGCCAACATCATTGGGGAGACCATTCGAGCGATGCACACGCTCAGCATCCAGCATGGCAGCCTCAAGACCTACCTCAACAAGGAGTTGGACAGCTTCACTGCGAAGAAGGAGTTCCTTGAGTACCTCAAGCGAGTGTTCCCCGAGAAAGACGACGTTCACTACGAGCATGGCGTGTTGGACCCGATCCTGGAGATGGATAGGGCAGGGTCTTTGCCTCAATGTGTGCATGTCTCAGCGCTGAGCTTCCTGCCTGCATGCAGCCTCAAGCCTCCGCCAGGCTGCGACGTCACAGATCAATTGGTCGGTGAGATATTCCAGGACGGCTTCGTAACGGCTTCGGACCCTTTGTTGGTTACTCAACCAGCTGAGCTTGCAAGTCTTAGCGAGGATGACGATGCGCGTGGCTTCTATCTTGGCTATGCCAAGGGTCAAGCCCGCGCTGTGGCCATCTTATCCATCCTGCTCTACTTCATGAAGAATGAGTACGACCTCAAAGTGGTGCATCTGAAGCTTTATGAGAGCATCCTCGCCATCTATGTGCATTCCATGAAAGTGAACTCCAAAGAAGAAGAGGCCCTTCTGAACATGAAGCTCTCGTGCAGAGGTTCGATCCGGCGTGCTAACAACATCGTGGAAGTGGTCTTCATGCTGCAGAACCTCTCGAACCGTTATGGCATGAGCGACTCAGCTGGCTTCGTGCGCCGGTGGTGTGGACAAACAAACAAAACCTAAAAACGAAGTGTTCGGTGTGGAGTGTCAGTAGATATGTAAGCAATTGTGAGTAGTTCTCATTGTGCCGAATTTCTTAATGTGAAAAGCTGTTCAGGGGATGGGGTCATGCCGTGCGCCAGCGTGTGCGCGCTGGCCCTGCACTGCCCCTCGTGATGGTCAGGCCTGTGTCCAAAACTTGTGATGCATTCTGGACCCCTCTTCTGCCAGGTGGAACAACATGTCTTCCAAGCAGTTCCAGATCACTGGGAAGAGGGCTGTGGCCTTGAAGCAGCTACTGGAGGTGGCACCCAAGAAAGCCCTCGATTCCATCTTGGCTCACGTGGGGAACCTGGGCTGGCAGCAGTGCGCGTGGTCCGAGGAGGTGCTGTCCAACAAGAAGATCTACCCAAAGTTCAACTTCCCTTGCAAATCTAAGAAGTGGATCCCACGAGTGAGGACCACTGACGAGAGCCTCTGCTTGATGATCGAGCGGGTCCAGAACCTACATGAAGCTCAGAACCAGATGCTGCGCATGAAGATGACCCCGCATGTGGCAGAGATGATGGCTGAGAGCGCAGCTGCTGTGCTTGCCATTGCGCAGGAGATCAGCTTGACCGCGCCGATTGACGATGCGAAGCTTCAATCATCATGGGTGCGAGCATGGGCTGAGGGCTCGGACCACGTGCACACGGAGATCCAGATGGGGCTGATGGAGAAGAGCGACAGCTTCGACCCGGCAGTACACCTATCAACGATGAAGCGCCTACTGGACGAGCACATTTTCCAGGCCCCCCTGGCGCCTGCAGAAGAGGTCAAGCGGTCCCTCGACGTGGACGAATTCAACCTGGACATGAAAAAACTAGAGTACGATACTACGGTGTTCGAAAACTGGGAGAAGAAGTGCGATAATGTTGTCGCTGCCCGCTACCATGCAGAGCAGGAGCCATCATGAGGAAAAAAAACGAACATATCTAAAAACACAGCGTTGGCTGCTCGAAACCCCTGCGATATGACATACTCCCTAATCCTCCTCCTCATCATCTCCACTCCTCCTCCCTCCTCCTCCCCCGTTTCCCCCATCTGCCCTCCCTTCTACTCCTCCTTCTCCTCTGCCCTCTGCCTGTTGGAATGTGCAGTGGACCCTCTGCCCTCCTCCTCTGCCCTCTGGTGCTCTCGTCTGCCCTCTCTCGCCCCCCTTCTGCCCTCTCTTGCTGACCCCTTACATGACGAATTCGAAGGAGAGGAGGGGGAGGAGCGGTATCGTCGTCATCGTCGTCCCAAGCTGTCACCCTTACCATGGCAGCCCCACTCAAACCTGAAGGGCACCTTACGCCTTTATAACCCAGCCCCAAGCCCTGAAACCCAACAAATTACAACGAGGGGTGGGCCTGTGACCGCGCCAAGCAGCCCGCCTGCAGGGAGCATCCGCATTGCACATTTTTCCCCTGCCTCCACCTTCGAAAAGGCCCGTGGGGGGCCCAGAGATACCAGGACGCCTAGGGGTGCCATCTTCTAGTGCTAAGGAGTCCAGGGCGCCTCGGGGGCCCCAGGGGCCCAAGAAATCGAGTTGCAGCAACATGTTAAGAACCATACCCTACACATTGACCTGCTATGTTTTCTGGAGTCGATGCTGGTGGAAATTGGAGCCCAGTGGCAGGCCTTCAGAGATCCTTGGCAGTGGTGCTGTTTAGATAGAGGCTGATGCTTCTTGAGCCTCGGACAGGAGCACAAGATGAAGATAAAGGGCCAATGTAGGAAAGCAGCCGAGAAGTTCCTGAGTTCGTGCGTGAAGATTTCAGTCCTGACGGGCAAGGTGGAGGAGTGCATTGCAGACATCATTGCCTTCAAGCGCGACACGATCCAGAAGAAGACTGGAATCTCCATGGACGGGCTGCCCACGCTTGTCATGCTGAACTGGACCACCCCATGCTCGTCTCACAATGAGGATTTCGACAAGCAGGCGAAGGTTCTCAACTGGATCCTGCACGAGAATATCAAGAACGTCGCTTGTGTGCTTCTCCCGGTGTACTCGTACAACCGCGGGAAGCTGTACATGGAGGAAGTGAAAGCAGTGAAGGCCATTGGCGATGCTGGGCACAACCCGGACAGCAGCTTCAGCCTGCTCTTCAAAGACCAAGTCGATCCGAGGGACAGGCGGCCGATGAGCTACCCTGGGAGGCTGGTGTTTCCAGCGGGGTGTTCAGAACTAAAGGACCACCCGTTCTTCACCTGCCAGCTGAGGGTCATCGGGCGCACCAAGGAAGCGAACCAGATTCCTGGCAAAAAGATGAAGATTATCGAGGAGCTCTGGAAACGCAAGGGGTGACATATGTAAATAATGCATGCATGTCTAATCCTGTGTCGTGCGTTTTATATGTGCAGTGCATATTTTTTGTTGGCATTGGGGTATCATATAATGAGCATCTGAGCTGGTATATGTTATGAAGGGAGCATGAGTTAGAATAGTCAATATTTCATGGTAGGGCCCTACTGTTGTGCAGTATGTCGCTTGGGGGCAAACCTGACAGTCCAGGGAGGGGTCCTCTATGCATAGATATGGCCAGTCATTGTCCTATGAATGTGTCGGTCAACTGTTGTGACCTCCTCCTCATCCTCCCCCTCCTCCTCCAAGTCCTCATCCTCCTGCTGCTCCTCCTCCTTCTCTCCCCCCATCCTTATCATCGCATTTACCCCCCCCCCCTCTCCTCTCCCCCCCCCCCCCTCCTGCGTATTCCCTCCCCTATCCCCCTCTTTCACATCGCTGCGCCGCTGCCATCGGCGTCCAGGAGCGAAGAAAGAGCTCCTGGAACACTGACCTCTCCTCGGAGACCCCATACCTCAGAAAAGTTATGGGCGAATTCAAAGAATACTGCTCCTCCTCTTACCATCCCCCTACCCCCTGTGCCATTAAGATCCTGCAGGACCTCAGCGCGGATGCTTTGCCTCCTAGTACTGACCACCGAGCCTCCTATCTTCATGGCCCCCCAAAGTTCTCCCAGTTCGGGCCCGAGGCGAGCAAGTGCCTCCTTGAGAGCCTCACAACTGGGGCAAACCTAGGATCGCACAAGGCGTGTTTCATTCTGGACCTCAATATCAAGTGCGGCGAATTCCTGGAGTCCTTCATCTCCCAGCGCAACGTCCTTTCCACCAGTTTCTTTTACATGGGGATTGCGGAGACGATGCTGGAATACACGTGGGTAATCCATTCGATGCAGGAGCTCGCAGAAGAAAAAATCAAGGACGGTTCCCTCGAGGTCCCAGGGCTCAAGATGGACTCCAAACTCAACGACGACCTCCTGGAACCTTATCCGGCTCTTCCAAAGATGAATATGCTGGTGGTTAGCGGACCAGACAAGAACAAATTGTTCATCCCGGTCGAGGTGGTGAAGAAGTGGCAGAACCATCCGCAGTTCGGGGGTCAGTTCAGCGAGTGGCTGGACAAGTTCACCAAGAAGCATGGGGTCATCGAGGACACGACCAAGGCACCTGGTGCTGGTGCTGGTGGTGCTGGAGTCCCCAATCCCCTCAAGCGTGCAGCTGACGGTAACGATGGGATCCCCTCCCCAGCGAAGAAGCAGAAGGTTGCTGATGTCTGCGTGGTGGACGCCTCCAGCATCCCCCATGCGCTCCTCTGGGAGGTAAAGGTCAACACAAGCGTCCAAGTCCAGCTTCAGATCCGCGCTAACCACAACATCTACCTCATCAACAAGGAGTCCAAGGATATCATCATTGCAATTCACACGATGCTGGCGCAGTTCGGGAAGGGAAGCTTTAAGATTCTCACACAAGAGGAGCTAGACAAGAAGAAACACCACCAGTGGGAGATCAAGGACGAGAAGGAGCTGGTGGTGATGAACAATGTGGTGCAAACTGTGGGAGCAGCTATGCAGGCTGTTGCCAATGGGGTGCCGAAGCTCGCCTACCACAAGATCACGATCAACGACGCAGACCCGAAGTGCTTCACTGCTGAGCTCACTCACAAGATTGCTTTCGTGGCTGCTGAAACTAGCTCAGAACAGGCTGCAGTCACCCCGGCCAACATCGCATCCAAGGAGCTCCCAAGTGTGTGGATGAACGAGGGCACCATAGTCATGTGGATGGTGCGCTGGAACTCGACCAAAGGATTGATGCCGATCAAGCCTGCAGTCTACCTCAAGGGAAATGTGACGCTGGGGGCGGGCAAGGCGTGCCACTGCTCAGCGGTGGCCACTGCTGCGTGAGGCTGGCCAGGACAGTATGTGGAAGCCAGTGCGCTGGCATCCATCAGATTTTGATTACATGCTGGCAGATGTTAGAAGTGACATGTGGTTGCCCCACCCACTTCTTCTTCTCCAATCACATGCCCCCCCCCAACCCGCCCCTGGAGCAACCACTTAGCAGACAGCTTGCCTGCGCAAGACGATGTTGGCATGTATTTTTTCGATGCCTGCAGAGGCCAGTGCAAGACGAGTTTGGCATGTATCTGGGGTGCCTGCAGGACTCTGAGTGGAAGTAACGCACTGTCGAGGCTGCAGGACTTGGGAGCTCACGTGATGTTCAGAGTCTAGTCATGGAAGTTGTCTGAAAGTGTTATCCCCACCTACACTGTGTTGCAATGTATCGCTATCTGCGTTGCATTTGTGTTGCAGTAGATGTTATGTGACGGGGTGTTGCAACTAGAATGCCCTTGCCAATCTATCGTGTTGGTAGAGATGCCCGTGCATGCCAGGGTGTAAGAGTGTTCCCGGATCCCCTGCTGAAAAGCAACACAGACACATATAAGCCTTACTGTTCCTTGCCAATGACTCCTCCTTGCTGCCGCTCGCTGCTGGGAGAAGGTGGAGGGCGACGACGAGGAGGCAGGATCAAGGAGAACAAGAGAAAGCGCTGACATGCAAGCAAGCTGGCGGCCAGCAAGCTGGCGGCCAGCAAGCTGGCGGCCAGCAAGCTGGCGGCAAATCAGGAGGATATGAGGAGCAGGAAAATATGGGATGAGGAGTACAATAACGAGGGAACAAGAGAGGAAGTAACATCATCATTATCATCACCGTTATCATCATACTAAAACCTCTGCTAGCTGTTCCACATGTCCTCCTCCTCTTCTTCCTTCTCCCCCTCCTCCCCCTCCTCCTCCTCCTCCCCCTCCTCCTCCTTCTCCTCCTCCCTTCTTCCTCCTCCTCATCATCATCATCAGCATCATCATTATCATCATCATCCATCTCTCTCGGTTGAAGGCCAGCTCGCTGGCCGCCAGCTTGTCGGCTACCATTTCTTTCTCATCCTCCCCTTTCTTTTCTCGTAGCCGTTTTGGCCCAATCTGTCAATGTCTTGTGGATGTGGGTTCGCAGTGCTCCTCAGGAGCGATGGCACAGCCGTGGGCTGCGGCTGCCCTGACAATGGTGTGCTGGACATCCCAGCGCTGCCGGACGGCCTCACCTACGCGGAGGTTGCCGCTGGGTGGATCTGTCCTCGCAGCGCTCGTCAGATCTGACGGCACTGTGGCGGCGCGCGGCGGAAATAATCGCAGCCAGTGCACCATCCCAGCGCTGGACCTATGTGTGACCTACACGCGCATAGCCGCTGGAGGCTGCAACGCTGTGCTGCTCAGGAGCGATGGCGCTGCTGTTTCCTGTGAGTCCGCACGCTGAGGGAGTACAGGTTCAGGCCTGAGGTGGAAGTAGCGTGGGTCCCAGAGTTGGGCCCAGGCCTCTGCTATGTCGCAGCGTCTGTCTGCGGGCAACGATCACATCGTGCTGCCGAGGAGCGATGGGGCCGCAGTACCCCATGGCCTAAAGCCGCCTAGGGCGCGCGAATTGGCCAGCCCGGCCTGCGAAATCCCAGCGTTGGTTGGAGTCCTGACCTACACTCAGGTCTCCGCTGGGACTTACCACGCGGTCCTGCTCAAGAACAATGGTACTGCTGTGGCCTGTGGCGACAACGAGTTCGAACAATGCGACATCCCGATGTTGGATGGAAGCCTGACCTACACGCAAATTGTGGCTGGAGGGCACCACGCAGCAGTCATGCTCATGAACGGTGGTACCGCTGTGGCTTGTAGCTCGAACGACAGCAGACAATGCGACATCCAGGCTTTGGACGGAGCCCTGGCCTACACATCAGCGCTGGCTGGACTGGACCAGACAGTCCTGTCAAAGAGCAATGGTGGCGCTCATGTTTTTGGATACAATGCAGAGGGTCAGTGTGACATTCCACTGTTGGGCGGTGGCCTGACATCCACGGCGTCGCTGACAAAGCTGCTCATCCTGCAAGCGACGCTCGTCAGCGGTTCAATGCGTTTGTTTTCTGACCTTCAGTGGGGACGAGCGTTGCAGAATCGCAGACATCTACATGATGCTGCTGGTAGAACACTGTGCAAGCAGGTTGGGCCCTGCACCTTCGCGGATAGACGCCATCCTCCTGCCGAGTGGCAAGCGGTTAAGCGACGTCTCAAGTGAAGAGACGGTCGGGAGCACAATATTCTTCTAGCCTGCTCGTTTTTTTTGTTTCTGAAAGGGGTGCTGATGCCACCACTACTATGGCCTGGTGCTTCATGGCCCCCCTGCCTGGTCTGTCATCATCATGCCTGGTCAACCTTCCTGGTCCTGGTCCTGCCTGGTCTCGTTTATGCCTGCCTGGTCCTCCCACCATCCTGCCTGTTCTGCCTGGTCCCCCCCTCGCCTCCCTCCCCCTTTCCCTTCAACCTCTCTTTGTGGACATCTGACTGGGAGGATTGCGGATGAGGAGGAAAAGGAGGAGAGGGGAGAAACAAGCCAACAAGGGGGATAAGCAAAATACCTAACAACTCAACCAACATGCTTGACAACTGTCTCGAACATCAAGCGCCTCGAGAATCAAGCGAAACGCATCGAAAATAAAGCGTCTCGATGTTCGGACATGACTGGTGAAGACGATGATGACGGCGATGACGATGACGAGCATGATGGCGATGTTGATGGTGACGATGATGACGATGCTACACTTGGTTGCCATCCCTCATTCTGGGCGGTCAAACACGGGCGCCCCGAAATGGAATTAGGAACACGGTTTTCAGACCATTCGTGGCTTGCGTATTGATAGCGACGTCCTGGAAAAGTAGTAGTAAGGATGCAGATGGCGCTGCAGAATTGGCGCCTGCGGCCGGCATGACCCCTTCGGGTTTTTTTCATGATTATGAGTAGCTGGGCCAAGCACGTATTCAAATAAGTAGTTGAGCCAACGGGCCATTGAGTGAGGGGGGCGAGGAGTTGGGGGGGCGAGGCGAGGGTGAAGAGGACGAGGGGGGGGGACGAGGAGCAAGGCAGAGCAAGGCATGGCATGAAACGAATGGGGGAAAGATGTGATGAGAGGAGGAGCGAGAAGAACTGAGATGGGTAGGTGGGCCTTGCCTGCAAGGGCCCCCCTCCGCCGAAAAAGTCAGAGGTTCCAGGATTCGGTTAAAAACTGAACCTCTGACTTTCGTGCTTTTCCTCACGACGCCAGAATCGAGACGCCCCTAAGGGTTCCCCCCCTCCGCGATGATGGTGATTACTACGGCGATCAAGCGGCGAAAACGGGTGCTAGGCCATGCCATTCCCAAACGCCCATGCCATTCCTCGTCCCCTGCATCGTTTCAAAAGCTCTCAAAAGCCCATGCCGTTCCTCGTCCCCTGACTGAATCGTTTCTAATAATGCTTCTGTCCTGCGCCATCGAAACAGATGATGTTCTACAACCACAGAGAGGTCGGTAGGTTGGGAAGTAAGGGAAGGGAGGGGTAGATGAGGGCAGGGTGAGGAGGACGATGAGGAGGAGGAGACAGGGGAGGAGGAGGAGGAGGAGGAGGACAATAATAAGCAAAGTACCCTGGCATCTGTAACCAAATTACTTAACATTCGTCTGACAAGAAGAGTCCTTCTCTGCAGAGTGCCAGACACATCCCCGGGAGATGCCTGTCGGGTCCCCAGCGGATGCCCAGCAGTTCCGAGGGGCGCCCACAATAAAGGAGTCCAGCGAGACCCCGCGGGGCTGTCCCCTCGGCCCGCCGCGCGCGCCCCCCCCCGCCCCCTGAAAAAAAACAGCCGCCGCAGAACTGGCTCACTCCTCGCCGATGCGCTTGCACATCTTGCCGGCGCTCGGACGTCCATTTTCCGTGCATTTGTCGATTTCGTGCGTGTTTTTGTTGCTCGATGGTCCAGGATGGTCCTCGATGGTTCTCGCCGAGAAAAAAATGCACACGTCCGAGCGATGCCAAGACGTTCCTCGGCTGCTCCGGCGAGACCGCCGCGCGGAGGAATGCCCCCTCCCCGGCGCGCGCCCGCAGCGTTACCCGGCGCCCCGCGCTCCAACGCCAATCGGGATCGACGGGCGGGGGGGGCGGGGGCGGCGGAGAGGGCGGGGGTGTCTCGACTCGAAGCGTCTTGCGATTCGCGCGGCGCCCGAGCCCTTGGCCCCCCGGATCGAACTGGCCCTCCAGATGCGCCTCTCTCAACGCATCCGCACGCGTTCGCTCGCTTCCTCGCCTCCCTCGCCGTCGCTCGGACGTCCCTTCCCCGCGTATTTGTCGGCTTCGTGCGCGCCTTTTTTTCGCAAGGTGGCCTCAAATGCTCTTCGATGGTCCTCGCCGAGAGAAAATGCACACGCCCGAGCGATGCCAAGCTCCAGATGCGAGGCCTCGCACGTCTCCAGCGCGTCGGACTTCAGCCTCTGCGCGCGCTTCCAGATCGCCGAAGCCTTCCACGCGTCGCCCCGGCGCCTCGACGCGCGGCGCAGGCGGTCACTTGTCGGCCAGGCTTGCGCTCGAGCCCTCGCGTCGGGCTGAACTTGGGGAAGGTGGGGGGGCGAAGGGGAACGGGGAGGTCGCGGCGGGAGAGGGAGAAAGACGAAGAGGGAGGAGCAACCGAGCGGGGGGAAGGGTGGGCGGAGGGAGGCGCGAATAAGCGGAGGACTAAAGTCGCGAATAAGCGGAGGACTAAAGTCCTGCCTCCAGTTCTGGCGCGGAGGTGGCGCTACAGATTGGCAGGCTGACTCGCCGTGGGCCCCGGGCGCTGGGAAGTGGACAAGCGCGCAATTTCCAAACAGGGGCGATTTGCGTCGTTTGAGGCACCTCGTCCTCAGGGCCCCATCCTTCAGGACCCCATCTTTGAACCCCCGAGAAGTGGCCCAGAGGACCTGGGCATGCCCGTGCTGGCCGCGGGGGCCGTGCACTGCTCGGCGGTGCTGAACAAAGCCGAACCACGCGAGACAGTTGAAAACAACAGCGCGCAGCAGGGCTCGCGCGGCACCCCGTGGACCCCAAGGTTCCCGAGGACCCCCCCTCCCCCGCCCCCGCCCCCGCGCGCCCAGCCATGCAGACTCCGTTCGCGCCCCGCCTGACCTCGCGCGACTGCCCCGGCGGTCCTGGGGCGTGACCCCTGACGCACTCCAGCTCAGCGATCTGGCCCTGGAGCGTCTCCATGGCGACTGGGGGGGCGAGGTTTACTGAACTGACGGATTTCGGTGTCCTGGCATACCGAAATCCATCAGTTCAATCATCTTCGCCTCCACAGTCGCCAGACAGACGCTCGGGGGCCAGATCGCTGAACTGAATGGGGGGCGACCCAGGCCCAAAAATTAACGCGCACCCCCGCGCCGCCTGCGCCACTCAACGCCCGTGTTCCGAAGGTCCCCCCCCGCCCTTTCCCCCCGCCCCCCCTTGCCCTGCCCCACCCCCCCCTCCTCACCTGCGCAAAGAATCTGGGGGCGCCCGAGTGGGCCCCGCCCCCGTCACCAAGTGGGGCACCGGGCGTTGGGGCCATGGCACCAAGTTCCTAGCCATCAAACGTGTAACATAGTGAACTAAAGTGCGTCCGGAAAAAGGCACGCGGGCCCGGCCTGGCAGAGGCGGCAGGGTCAGGAGAGGAAGAGGAAGAGGGGGGCTGGGCGAAGGGCGGTCGTGGACGACGCCCTGGTGGCCGTGGGAGGCGGCGCGGTGGCGCGGTGGCCGCCGGCGCTGCGGCAGTCGCGGCGATTGTCGCGGTGCTGCGCGCGTCGAGCTGCTGGGCCCCAGGCGTTCGTAGTTGCGGTGGATGTGGTGGTCGGCGTCAGGCGTCGGCGGGGTTGAAAGTGGTGATCGTGGCGGGCGTGCTGGTGACCGTGGTGGCAATGGCGGCGGTGGGGATGGTTGCAGTCGCGCTGGAGGTGGTGCTACTGCTGCTCGTGGTTGTCGTGCTGGGGCTGCTTGTGGCGGGGGCCGCGGAAGCAGCCAGCTGTCCCTCACCGCCCCGGGGCGCTCAGGATCTTCTCCGCGCTCTCGCGTTGGAGGGTGCGTGAGATGTCCCGCCAGATCCTACTCAGGAGCTCAGAGCGGTCGGTATCGTCACGAGAGGCCCCGTAGCCCCGAATGAAGCTCGCTGCCTTGTCGGACGGCCGCCCCCTGGTTTCGAAAACCATCGGGGCTAAATCAAACCCCTCCCAAGGGGGGGAGCGGTCGCGTTCGTCCTCGACCATCTGGGTTGCTTCGAGTCCATCTCGTTCCGCTCGGGCGTGCCTGCGTGGGGCGTAGGTAGAATGTACGCAAGTCACCGCCCAATCGACGAAGATGGGTTGGCCAGTGCTCGGGTCGTGCGTCGGGATGCCCAACTTTGCCTCCTGAAGGACCCCAATCCGGGGATTTACGGCGGTCCCACGCCTGCACCCGTTGTTCCTTTGGCGAAGCATGACCCGTGATATCCTGATGCGTAGCTGCATGTCGGTCGCGGAGGCGGTCGTGCCGAGCAGCGCGGGATTGGCCCACCTCGCACGACTTAGCATGGAGCCCGTGTGGGTCGGGGGCCTTTTCCGCAAAAACCTGCCGTCTCGACATCGGCGTTGGCAGCGTGAGCCCGCAGGGCAGACCAGCGCACGGAGACAGCACACGAGGCTCACCCTGAACTGGTCATCTGGCTGCACAGGGTCTCCCGGTTGCCGCGGCTGGAGAAGCGCCCCTGCGCCCACGCCGCCGCGCTCCCCGAGCGCCAGGCGGTCGTTTTTTGGGAGCTCCCGCAGCAACCGTTCTCTGTTTTGCCTGCCTGGAGACCGCCTTGCTCCACACACCGTGGAGCTTCGCGCGGGGTTCCTGGACGCCACGGGCCCAGTCGATGGGCTGTCCGTCTGTCGCCCCCGAGGCTTGCGGCGCCTTCTCGGCCTGGGCAAACGCTCGCACTGTTCGCGGGCAGCGCGTCCGTTTTACGAGACCCTGGCATGTCCGCTGCAAGCGCCAACCACGCCCCCCATCGAACCACCTATCCGACCGACCTTTTATGGGGACAGCAGGCTCCGTAGGCGAAACACCAACCCTCAGTCAATCACTCTCAAAACCCCCAATCCGAGTCCAAGTGCTCCAAGCGCCAATGCAATTCCTCTAGGGAAGCGCGTCTGATGTTACATATCACTTTTCGTCGTGGGCATTCTCGTTCGGGGTCGGCGGCAACGGCCGTAAAGCCGTCTCAATAGTTTCGGGGCGCCACATGAAGCACTGATGCCGGAAATGTCTGCTGATATCGTTGCAAATGGCGGATGTATGTTGTTTGCAGTTGCTCCGTGCGGATTGCTGCCCGATGCCAATCTTTCCATCATACGGGCCCATCGAGCGATGATTCCACACTTTTGGGACCTCTTGGGCAGTTCAGAGCCATTTGCGTTGCTATGGGGCATCCCTACGCTTTCAGGAGGCCTTCTGGGGCCGTCCTGGACATCATTTTCTACGGGTTTCAACTCCTCTGGCCCACCCGTTTTCCCTTCTACCTCCCTCTCCTCCCCTCCGCAGTGGCCCCATTTCCCAAAAAGCAAGATCCTCCCCTAATCGCCTCAGGGTTGCCATCCTTGCTGACCTTCGGCATGACTTCCAAGACAAACTGCAGGCCCCTGCAATATTTGTCGTAGGCGTCCTTGAACAGGCCCCTCTCCTCTAGCCTTGGCGAATAACTGGGGCGGATTCGGAAGCCACCCCCCCGTCTTTCTCCTTTGTCGTCATCATCATCATCCTGCTCCTCTGCCATTCCCTTTCCTTCCTTCTCCTCCTCCTCCTCCTCCTCCTCCTCTTCCTGATGATCCTCCTCCCCCCCCCCCGTCTCCGACCCTTCCTTGCGCCCTGCCTCCTGCTCCTCCGCCTCCTCTTCCTCCCCCCCATCCTCGTGCCTGGGTCCCACCTGATTGCACTCTCCACGTCCATCATGTTCCTTCCTCCCTCCCCCTCCTCGGGTGGTGCGCGATTTCTCAGCTTCGGAAGCTGCAATCAGCTGGTCAGTGCGCTCGTTTCGTCACCTCAGCGCCAGGGTACCGCGAAACGGCCTTCCTCAAGTCACGAGCGTGGGCAAACAAACTCACGAAGCACTCCCCAGAGAGAGAACAAGGACATACCTCTGCCGAGCGAGCATGGAGAACCAATGCCGCATTCGGCTGAACGGACGCCACCGCCAGCTCTGGGAACACGGCCGCCCAGCGCTTCGCGGAGGCTTCCAGGTCCCGGCTCAATGGTGTCAGCCAGCACGGGGCATAAATGAAGGGGCCCTGGGACACACAACTAAGTACACACAAATCACAGGATCCCACTATATGTTCGCATATTTCCCAGGTTCTTGTCTTCCCCCCACTTCCCATGTTTTCCCATATTTTCCTGGGAATCGACGATCCATTGTGTCTCTGTGTGTGTGTTTTCCTCCTCCTGGAGAGGCCCGCTCCCGGAGGCCACGTGCGCCCCGGCTGCCGCGGCCTCTTCTGCTCGAGGCGCGCCGGAGGCTCCCAGGCAAGGGGGCATGGACTGCAGGGCGCCGTCGCTCGGACGTCCATTGCCCGTGCATGGTTCAGTTTCGTGCGTGCTTTTTTTGGGCTCGATGGTCCAGGAGGGTTCTCGATGCTTCTCGCCGAGGAAAGGATGCACAGGTCCGAGCGACGCCAAGACAGGGCGCTCCGCTCTCCTCTCCTCCGTCCCGCCCCGTCGTCCTCGAAAGGGCCGCGCAGGCTCGAACGAGAAATCACGAGCGGCGAGAGAAAACGTGTCTTAGGCAAGTTGGCCATTTGATTTTACAGTCGAGGCGTTGACCTAAGGAACCCTAAATAAGGAACGAGGCCCCTATTTCCATAAGTTGAACTTCGATTTCGCATCGAAAGCCCAAGGAAAATCCAGGGCAAGCTGCGAAACACTTAAGGAACGCGGAGCCCCTCCCCAACGAACAGGGTTCCTTCTTCGGGGACCCGACTGTACGCCATGGCTTACGCGGGCCGCCAGCGTGGCACACCGCGCGGGGCAGAGGGCGCTGACGCGCGGCCTCACACGGGCAGCTTGCTCGCCAGCGTCGGTGAAGACGACTCCGTTTTTTTGGCGTCTCCTCCTCCTCCTCCTCCTCCTCCTCCTCCTCCTCCTCCTCCTCCTCGGATGACACCTGAAGACTTCAACCAACATCAACTTGGCCTTGCGGAGGTGGGCACATGAGTCGCCCGAAAACGCGCTCAGAGCGGACAGGGACATTTGGCTGTCGGTCGCCCCCCCCCCCTGGGAGATCAGAGAACCAACCAAGCGCAACAAATCCGCCGACCCCTTGTGGGTCTCTAGGCGTGTGAGATAGTTCCCCCCCCATAGTCCCCCCCCATGGGACCCCAAACCGGCGATTTGACCCCCCCCCCCCGGGCCGACGCCGAGCGACTCACGGGCTTCTTTTGGGCCCACATGGGGCTCAAGACGGGCCAAGAAGGCCCCAAGACGTCTCCCAGACGGCCCACGAGGGCCCCGAGACGCCAAACGAGCGCTCCAGGACGCCCAAGATGGCCCCAAGACGAGCCAAGCGGCCTCCAAGACGGCCCAAGAGGCCTCCAAGAACAGTCCTCAGAAGGGCCGAAGAGCCGAAAATCATCCAATTCCTACGGGAAAACGTACATTTTCGTCATATACGACTTGTCGGCCTTTACGGCGGTGAAGACGGGCCAAGAGCACCCCAAGACCGCCCCAAGACGGCCCAAGAGGCCCCCAAGAGGGCGCCAAGACGGCCCAAGAGTCCCCCAAGACGGCCCAAGAGGGCCCCAAGACGGCCCAAGAGGGCCCCAAGACGGCCACAAGAGGGGCAAGAGGGGGAGCTTGAACCGACAATCCGAGCCTTCCGCCCCAAGACGGCCCAAACGAGCGCTCCAAGACGCCCAAGATGGCCCCAAGACGAGCCAAGAGGCCTCCAAGACGGCCCAAGAGGCCTCCAAGAACAGTCCTCAGAAGGTCCGAAGAGCCGAAAACCATCACATTCCTATGGGAAAACGTACATTTTCATCATATACGACTTGTCGGCCTTTACGGCGTTGAAGACGGGCCAAGAGCACCCCAAGACCGCCCCAAGACGGCCCAAGAGGCCCCCAAGAGGCGCCCAAGTCGGCCCAAGAGGGCGCCAAGACGGCCCAAGAGGCCCCCAAGACGGCCCAAGAGGGCCCCAAGACGGCCACAAGAAGGGCCCAAGAGGGGGAGCTTGAACCGACAATCCGAGCCTTCCGCCCCAAGATGGCCCAAACGAGCGCTCCAAGACGCCCAAGATGGCCCCAAGACGAGCCAAGAGGCCTCCAAGACGGCCCACGAGGCCTCCAAGAACAATCCTCAGAAGGGCCGAAGAGCCGAAAATCATCATTTTCGTCACCAAGAAAATCATCATTCCTATGGGAAAACGTACATTTTCGTCATATACGACTTGTCGGCCTTTACGGCGGTGAAGACGGGCCAAGAGCACCCCAAGACCGCCCCAAGACGGCCCAAGAGGCGCCCAAGTCGGCCCAAGAGGGCGCCAAGACGGCCCAAGAGGCCCCCAAGACGGCCCAAGAGGGCCCCAAGACGGCCCCAAGAGGGGCCCAAGAGGGGGAGCTCGAACCGACAATCCGAGCCTTCCGCCCCAAGACGGCCCAAGATGGCCCCAAGACGCCCAAGAGGCCCCCAAGACGCCCCTAAAAAGCCCCACAAGGCCCCCCAGAGGGCCCCAAACGGCCCCAAAACGGCCCCCAAGAGGCTTCGAAACTGCCTCCAAGAGTCCCGCGAGAAGCCCCCCAAGAGATCCCCGCGATCACCTCCTCCTCCTCCTCCTCCTACTTCTTCTCCTTCTCCTCTTCCTACTCCTCACGACCACACGCTGCACGCAACATTGCAGGAGAATGGTGCCGACACTGCATGTGACCCCAGAGAAACCACAACGCTTTTCGAACAAAAGGGTCGGCGGATGTGGCGTACGCCTATAGAATCTGTTAAGGGGCGCCGGCGTTCAATCTCTTCTCCAGCGGCGTGGTGACGACACCGTCGCGAGCGCGAATGAAGCCAGGACGCGCTTAAGCGAATTTCCACCCAGCGTAACGGAAACGAGGTCCGAAGTCCTGACCCTTTCCACGGGGCTGCGTCGACGGTCCCGGGGCCCGGCGAGGGTCCCGTGGGCCAACAGCTGCCACACACCTCTCGTCTCGATTTCCTTCTGCCGCGAGCATGTATGCCTCCCCTCCCCCCGCACACCTGACGAATTTCCAGGAGAGCCCAGAATCGAATCGACAAGTCGGATCGGCGATCGGCAAGAATCGGATCGGCGGAAATCGGCAGCCGAACCGGGAAAAGTCGAATCGGCAAAAATCGGGAGACTAGTAGGCCTCCATTGTGGAATCGGAATCCAAATCGGAATCCGAAATCGAATCCAATCGGAGTCGGAATCGGAAGCCATCGACATCGAATCGGTTGGAATCGGAGGAGCTGAAATGAGCCCTGAATTTCCACCTCCCCACACACACCCGACGAATTCCCACCTTGCTGTCAGCACGCGGCGCCGCTGAGCCGCGCGCGCGCGGCCCTCGCTGGTCAGGTCCAGGCCCTTGTCGAGCGTGTCCTGGTCCTGTCCGCCCCGACCCTTGTCGAGGCTTGCGGGGGAGAGAATGGACCAGAGCTCGAGCTACAGTAGGAGCCCGTCCACAAGAAACCCTACCCTGGAACCCCAGGACGTTTATGGGTTTTTGGTATGGGAACGTCACGTTTTCCCTCGCGAAACCATGAAACCCCAAGAAACCCAGGGCACCCTGGAGGCAATCAGGGTGTTTCTTGGCATGGGCCTCCACTGAAAACAATGTTTCCCGTTGCTGCATAGAGGAAACATAAAGAAAACGGTCCACGAGATTGCCCACACGCACCCCAGCTCGCTCCCTGGAAGGAGCAGCAGCGGCAGCAGCGGGAACGGCACCACGTCGGCAGCAGCAGGGGTCAACTAGCACAGGAGGGGGAGCAGAGAGAGAGAGAAAGAGAGAGAGAGAGAGAGATAGCAAGAGAGAGAGAGAGAGAACAAAAAGAGAGAGAGAGAGAGAGAGAGGAGCAGCAGAGACGGGCGAACGAGGACGAGGCGGGCTGAGCTGAGCTAAGCTGTGCTGGGTCGGGCCACGTTTGGCCGAGTTCGCCCATCTGGTGTTGCTAGAAGCGGTCCTGGCCCAAGGTCTACTGCCTACCACACCACCCCAACCCGACCGGAAGACCCGAAGACCCGAATTTCGTGGTGAGGGGAGGGGGTACGGGATGGTTTTCTTCTTCCGATGTTCCCCGACGCCCGCCCCCCCCCACACCCACACCCACACCCACACCCACACCCACACCCACACCCACACCCACACCCACACCCACACCCACACCCACACCCACACCCACACCCACACCCACACCCACACCCACACCCACACACCCACACCCACACACCACACCACACCCACACACCACACACCACACCCACACCCACACCCACACCCACACCCACACCCACACACACACACACACACACACACACACACACACACACACACACACACACACACACACACACACTGGGAACGGAGGGCAAATCTGGGCCCTTCGGGCTGGGTCGAGGTGGTGTGGTGGGTGGTGAAGGGCAGTCCCAGCCCCACGCGCCGCCCCGGAGCTCGGGGGGGGGGGCCTCTGGGCCTCGTGGGGCGGGGTGGCCCCCCGGGGCCTCCCTGGGAACTCTGGGGACGCCTCGCGCCGGGGGCACCCTGGGCAGCACCACGTTGACGTCGTTCGAAGTGGCACTCTGGAGAGCACCCCAGATGACTACCTACCAGACCACCCCAGCCCAACCCGAAGACCCGAATCTCGGGGTGGGGGGGGGTGCTGGCTTCATCTGTGCTTGTTCGATGTTCCCCGACCCCCCAGTGGAAATGGGGGGCAACTCGGGGCCTTCGTGGTGGGTTGGAGTGGTTTGGTGGGCGGCAATGGCAGGAAGCACAAACTGCACAACCAGAAACTGTTGGAGGTCCGCGCGGACTCTTGGATCGGCGCTGGCCCCCGCCTCCCCGGCGCGCGGAGGGGACCAGGGGCGGCGCCGGAGGCGCCTCCTAGGGGGGTCCCAGCGCCGATCCAAGAACTCCGCGCGGAGCGTCGACAGTTCATA